GGCACTTCAAAATACGATGTTGAGAAACCCAAGGATGGGAAGCCAAATGGGCACCTAATGTTGTCTCTGCTCCTCCTGCTCCAGCTTCAGCAAGGACCAATGTGTTCACCACGAGGACGCTTCCGCCGGCCTTTCCGTGGCTTCCCAACTGGTCTCCAAACAAAGACTGCATTGCGTCTTCCAGAAGCTCGGCTCCAGAGCTTCGGATTTCTGGGAGAAAGGAAGAAGAATGCGGATTCAGGGAGCCCTCTGGAACACACCGAGGGAGCCATAAATACTACACAAAGGCCTTGGCTTGAGAGGGATGAGCATGTTGATTTATTTATTTAAAACATTTATATTCCGCCCTTCTTACCCCGAAGGGGACTCAGGGCGGAGCGCAATGCACATATATACGGGAAACATTCAATGCCAGGACAAGAATTCACTATATGCATATGCATACAGAAACATTAAAAACATGTGCTCTCTGTGGTGAGTGAATTAGAACCAGGCATCCTGCGGAGTGAGGTGGAATGGGCCTTCAGAAGCATTGCCAACAACAAGGCAGCAGGAGATGATGGGATCCCAGCCAAACTGTTGGAAATCTTGAAAGAGGATGCTGTCGAGGTGATGCATGCCATATGCCAGCAAATATGGAGAACACAAGAATGGCCATCAGACTGGGAAAAATCCACTTCTATCCCCATACCAAAAAAGGGAAATGTGAAAGCCTGCTCAAACTTCCATAGAGTGGCCCTTATTTCCCATCATGCCAGTAAGGGAATGCTCAAGATCCTGCAAGGAAGAAGACTCCAGCAAGACATGGAGCGAGAGTGGCCAGATGTTCAAGCTGGGTTCAGAAAAGGCAGCGAGATGAGAGACCACATTGCCAATATCCAGAGAGGGCCATTCAGTCTTCTACCACACTCCAAGGCAGAGTTCCTCTGCTGAACAGTCAGGAAGTTCTTCCTCGTGTTCAGGTGGAATCTCCTTTCCTGTAATTTGAATCCATTGCTCCATTGAGTCCTAGTCTCCACGGCGTCCTCACTGTGCGTTTCCCTCTTCCTACCTGCATAGTATGTCATGGCATCCTCTCCTGAGAGGTTCATATCAGAGAATACAGCCAGTGGGACGGGGTCAGTCTGGTCCTTCTTGGAAAGGGTTCCACAGTCTTGGAGCCACCACCAAGAAGGCTCTCCTCTTGCTCCCCAAGGCCTTCTCCAAAAGCCTTGAAATAATATCATACGAAAGCTGAACTGGCACAACCTGGGGATCACAACCAAACACAGTGAAGACACCTGCCCTTGCACTATGCTACTCTGCTGCTGAGTACGTATGCCCAGTGTGGAACACCACACTAAAACAGTGGATGTGGCTCTTAATAAGACATGGCGCATTATCACAGGGTGTCTGCGCCCTACACCACTGGAGAAATTACACTGTCTAGCCGGTATGGCACCACCTGACATCCGCAGGGAAGTAGCAGCCAATAGTGAAAGGACCAAGGCAGAGACATCTCCAGCTCATCCCCTGTTTGGGTATCAGCCAGCATGTCAACGACTTAAATCAAGAAATAGTTTTCTAAGATCTACAGAGACACTCGCTGGAACACCTCAGCAAGTGAGAGTCCAAAAGTGGCATGCTGAGAATGCTCGGAAGCTGTCACCTGGTGATGGTGGTCGGTGATGGAGATGGTGCCGGGCCTCAGTCCTCATCTTCCTCCTCCTCCTCTAATCCTTTGTACCATTCTGCCTCCGGCACTTGTTCTTCTTCCACTTCTTCTAGTTCTTCTATATCTTCTCAGCTCCCTCTTCTTCCTCGTCCTCATCCTCGTCCTCGTCCCATCCTTCTTCAAGTTCTTCTGGTGGGACTTCCTCCTCCTCTACTAGATCTAATTCCTCCAGATCTTCATCTTCGTATGTTTCCTCCTCCTCCTCCTCCTTCTCCTCCTCCTCAACAACTCCTTCCTCCTCCTCCAAATTCTCCTCCTCTTCCTCCTCCTCCTCCTCCTCCACGTCATCATCCACTTCATCATCCCGTTCGTTCCTCCCTTCCTCCTCGTTCTCCTCCTCCTCCTGGCTCTCAGGGATGGGTGTTATGATGGGGACGGTCTTTCTTCCCCACATCCTCTGAGGCCTTGATCTTACTTCGAAAGGCAGATGTTTCCCAATCATCTCCAAATGCTGGAGGTGTTTCTCTGGGGCGGGGGCCAACGGTGCCGCCTTGTTCCTTGTGCCCCAAGCCCTTGGTGGCTGGCGGCTGGGCAGGAGTTGTTGTCCCACGACCACCAGAGTGTTTGGGGCGGCCGGTGACACCTTATTGTGCCGAAACAATCGGAGTATTCGCCCCCGAGGCATGACTGAAAGGAAAAGGACAAGAAGAGAGTTAGCAAGGGTAGATCTATTCTATGAAGGAAAACAAAGAACTTCGCCATTTTGTGAAATCTCCTCCTTTCCCCCCAATCCCGCCACCTCGCTCCTCCCACCCGCGAACCCGCAGCCCAGACTCCTGACCTATGGGGCTTGCCTCTCCCCAAACTCTGTCCTGATCCTGACATTCATGCGACTCCTTCCAAATCTCTGTTTGCCCTCTTCTTTTAATACCCAAAACAAGGCTCCCTTTGTTGACAAACTCCTCGTCGTCCCTTCCCCTTCACCCCATGGTTCTCAACCTTCCGAATGCCACGACCCCTTCATACAGGGCCTCTTGTGGTGGTGACCCCCAACCATCACATTACTTTCGTTGCTGTCAGTTTGCTACAGTTATGAATCGTAATGGAAATATCGGATATGCAGGATGTATTTGCATTCACTGGACCACATTTGGCACAAATACACGATGCACCCACATTTGAATACTGGGGGGTTGGTGGAGGGGATTTAGTTTGTCATTTGGGGGTTGTAGTTGCTGGGATTTATAGTTCACCTACAATCAAAGCGCAGCCTGAACTCCACCAGCGATGGAATTGAACCAAACTTGGCACACAGAACTCCCATGACCAAGAGAAAAGAATACTGTGTTTTTTGATGGTATTTGGCGACCCCTATGACACCCCCTTGCGACCCCTCCAGGGGTTGAGAACCTTCATGGGTCGGCCTTGCCCCTTCTTGCAGCCACGGAACTGTCTGGGCAAAGTTCTAGATCCCCTTTCTGATTTCCTCCTGACAGAAACCCAAGAAGAGGCCTCTTTCTGGCCTTTATGGGGTCCTTCCCTCCCCTTTCCCCAGACATGCCTGACCTCCTGACACGTCCACCAAAGATGGGGAAAGCAGCCCTTTGGGTCTCCAACGTTCTCCCCTTTGGGTCTGGCTCATTTTGGCCATTGGTTCAGGCCGGATGTCGCGTCTCTAGAACGTTCTGCACACATTTCCTCTCATGGACCCCACGGCTGGAAAGGTCAGTCCTTTCTCCCAGAAGTATTCCCAGTTATTATCCAGGTCTGTATTTCTGTATTTTCCCCTAAATCTCTATTATTATTATTATTATTATTATTATTATTATTATTATTATTATTATTACCTGTCCATCTGTGACACAATCCCCAGGGCTGAGAAGCCACCGGGCACTCCAGCGCTCCAAGGACATTTCAGGTTAGAGCGGGCACCCCGAAAATGTCCCCCGACCCATGCCAAAGTCCCCCCCCCAAACCCAAGTCAAGGCTTTCACGCAGGGACCCATTTTCACCCGAGATGTTCTGCTTTTCCTCCAAAACGGACATCCCAGGGTTTGTCTCCATGGGTGCGGAATTTGCATAGCCCCGCCCCCTGCCTTCCCCTTCACGCAGCAAACGGGAATTGATCAGCAACTGAACAGGCGGTTTGGGAAGGAGCCACCCTGATTTCTAGGAGTTGTCGTTCAATAATTAGTAGGATTTTTCAAAACCATTAATTATTAATAATAATATAATATGACCAGAGGCGGCCCTAGGTATTTTGGTGAACCCCCCCCCCCCAATCCAA